GGGTATCTTAAGATTGATGAAACATGATATATATATATATATATATAAGTATGAGAATTAAGGACATTGATGAACTTCGTATGGTGGCATGAAAATAATTAAGTTTTTATAATTCTGGTATACTATCTGTTGTTATTGTTGTTAAATTTATCATTCATGAATCATTGAGTTTGAAATTCAACGTGTGATTATTTCTCATTCATATATATTAATTAAAATGTTCGAAGTAAGATTAAAAAGATTGTATCACTGAAAGAGTCAAGACGACCCAAAAATGAAAGACGATGATACTTTTTTAGCATATAGTTGATATTGACATGTTCATTCTTTAATTCAATTTTGGAAGTAATATATATTTTACGAGTCGTGTTATGTTTGTCTGTGATATGGCTTGTATTGATAATGTTTATGATGCATGTAAGGTGGTTATGGTTAATGTGCCGTAAACATGAGTGAAATGATGTGATTAAGCATTGTCATGATGATAAATGAACCATATAAATAGTGATTAAGTGAACTTGAACATGTTTATCCTTGTTTGATTTTGTGTTAACAGAAGTTCAAGCAAGAGATATGATGCATTTGTCATGCCATGTTCAGTAGAATATGCTCGTATGAATTGCATGTAGAAATAGATAGACTTGAATGGCTTTGGCATGAAGAACATGTTGAAATTACATAGAATGAACTCAATAGGCAAAAAAAATGACTGATGAGTGATTCTAGTGACGATCTAGAAATATTTTTTAGGTTGTATACATAAATTAATCTTACAAATTTTTTTATATGGAATGGACAGAAAATTTTAAAGTGAACACAATCAATTAAATAGATCACTAATTCAAAAAATAATAACGTTGTTGTCATAATTCACACACTAGAAATCATGTCTTTAAAGTTTGATATGATTAGGTATGAAGTAGAACTAAAATTAGAAGGTTTAGAATTCCATCTCTAATCTCTACGATAATTGTTTGTGCATTCATGAGCCTAATGTATCGATACCTCATAAAGAACATCAGTGTCTATTAATTAAATTTTAAAATATTAACATTTATTTTGATTTTGATACTCAAATTCTAATATAATACCGTAGGTGTCAATATCAAAGTTATTACCCAAAATTTTCAAAACATTAAAGGTTTAAAAGGCATAAGTACCTTCTTAAGGCCCACTATGAACATTTAAAAGTTAAAATTTTAACTCCATAATTCTCAAATATATTTTTATATATTGTCGAGATATCCTTTTAAATACATTATAAATTATTCCTTAAAATTTTAAATATTTACAATTAGATCTCTAGATGACACATTAGCCCCTTTGATTAATTGGTGAACTCACTTTAAATTCTCTCTTTGTACTTTTTTTTTTATTAAGTTAAAGTGATTACAATGTATTTTTATCGATATAGCACCCTCAGACCCATTAATTACCTATTAGGCACCCTCTCTCCTAATATTACCATCTAGCACCTATTCTGACCAAACGCGAATCACCATCCGCACCTTCGCAGGTTCTGTCTGAGCTAGCGCCACGTAAGAGAAGGCGCGAATCGTCATCTGTGCCTTCGTTGAACCTCTAACATATACAGAAGGTGGGGATCATGAAGCATACCTTCCATGGGAAATATTGACATGGCGCCAAGTGAGAAGACGCGTTTCAAGAAGCATGCCTTCTAAGGTCCACATCATCCCTCAAAGCATTTTAAAAAAATATGCTTTAAAAAATAAAAATAAAATAAAAAAATACATACTAATATCATAATTTAATACATATTAGTTCCATGAGTTGAAGAGCTTAATAGATTAGCTTATATAGGTATATTAGAGTGTTTAGATTATGTTTATTGACAATGTGGGATAAAAGTTAAAAGGTGTATTCCTTAATTTTTTTATCTCTATATCTAATTAATCTACTTAAACACTTTTTTAACTCCTTCGAGATCTCCCCTTTAAAATTGTTAGAGCTCAGATTCCTAATCAATTTTTTTGTTAGTAGAAAGCAATAATATTGATTATCATAACGTGAAAAAAAAATACTTCCAAGTGTTTTTTACAGACGTGTTAAACTTTTAAGCTCGCCAATTTCAAAAGGAATAACATCTTGTAGCTTATTCCATCTCAAATTACTACAATAAAAATATATAATTAAATAAATTACATGAAAATTACCCATTATTTCATAATCTAGATTTAAAATAAAATAACATACAGTATTTTAAGGCGTTTGAGACACCTAAATATAATTAATCTTATATTTGATCTTACATGAGTATATCGTTTCCCCTTTATATATATCAACTTCAAATTTTAATTTAGTATAAATCTTAATAATAAATATTAACATAATGTAATTATTTAAATATATTAACATATGGAAAATATTTAATCTTAATTAATATAAATCTTAATAATAAATATTAACCTAACGTAATTTAACAATAGTGTATAAGTATATTAATTAGATATAAATATAAAAAAGTTAATATAAAAAAGTTAAAAAAATACACCTTTTAACTTTTATCTCATATTGTCAAGAAACATAATATAAACACTCAAATATTCCTATATAAGCTAACCCCATTAAACTTTTCAACTCATAGAACTAATATGTATTAAAATGTGATATCAGTCCTTATAAAATTTTTTTATTTTTAATTTTTTAAATCATATTGTTTTAAATACTTTGAGGGATGATGTGGACTTTGGAAGACGTGCCCCTTGAAATGTGTCTTCTCATGTAGCGCCATATCAACATTTCTCATGGAAGGTGTGCTTCATGATCTGCGTTTTTCGTATATGTCAGAGGTTCAACGAATGTGCGGATGCCGATTTGCATCTTCGTTTAAGTGGTGACAGCTCGAACAAAACCCCGCAAAGATGCGGATGGTGACATGTGCTTTGTTAGAATGGGTGCTAAATCGATAATATTAGGAGAGATAATATCTGACAGGTAGTTAATAGGTATGAGGGTGATATTTCGATAAACATGTCTGATTACAAAATAATATATATTTTGAATACTATCATCATTTAACAATAAACATATAATTACAATATTGCAGTTGTTGTTATTCAAATTCGTAAATTCTAAAAATAATAACGATTTATTTTTATATTGAGATAAGTTGGTTAATGACTATCCTTGGACGTTTGAGTATGCCATAAAAGAATCCATTTTATTTTCATTTCGAATATCAAATAAAACATCTCTTATTCATATAAAATAATCGGACCAAACAGTGATATTCCGCACAATACCATTTAAGCCTAAAAATATCCTATTTCTTGAACCGGGGTCTGCTCCACCTTACCCCACTAAAGCTGATACCTCAGATTTGACATTTATTACAACAATTGGAATTTCATTGGGTTTGTCCACATCTGTGAATTATGGTAGCAACGAACGGTGGAAATTAGACTCCCGATTCGACTGAGGTCTCATTCTCAAGTCCCATCATTCAAATCTAATGACCAATCAATAATTAACGCAATGATTTAACCTTCCAAAAAAATGCAATGATTTTTTTATAATTTGAAGATAAATACAAGGTACTAATAGTATTTATTTAAAAATTCTTAAATATTTAATAACAAATGTTTATATTTTTTTCTTAAATTAAGATAATTATAGAGTAATATTTACTTTGAATATTTTTAATTATTTGACAATAAATGTTTAATCATTTTAATGTAGTCATTGGTATTCGGACTTATGACTTCTAGGAACAACAATAATTTTTTTAATCAATGAGTTAAGTTAATTCGTGAAAATATTTATATCTTTGGTGTTCAAATTTGATACTTCAAAAGACTTAACTATAATTCTTTAATCATTGAGGTCACTTAACTCGTGTAAAGACGCTATGATTTTAAATTATAATTATGTCTATTTACATTTATAAAAATTATATTTCATATCTTATCAAATTTTTATATTCTATTCAAAATTTTATATTAGGGTAAAATATATAAATGATATCTCAATTATAGGCACTGTTTTATTGAGTCTCTTGACTGTTAAAAGTTACAAAATAATATTCTCATTATAAGACGTTTTGTTGAGTCTTATTATAAATGATCACTCAACTATTTACATGTTCTAAAACTTTCTTTTTTATTTAAAAAATTAGCAGTTGTATGAGCTGAACATTAATCATTTGACGGAGATATAAAATTCAATCTCAAAATTGTTTTGAGGTGTATTTTGTGGATCTACTCTTCATTTACATTATGTTTTCGAACAAATGTTTGAACATGTCGTTCAAGTCAGTGCTTGAAATCAAAAATTGTATTAGTAAACATCATTATCAAAATATTACTTTATCATATCTCAATCATCATGTTAACATTTAATTTAAACTACCATCAATTTTTAATAAAAAAATGACGAGTTTAAAACATATAAATAGTTAAGTAACCATATTTTAATCTTTACTAATCGAAAGACTCAATAAAATAATACATTATAATCATAAATCATTTTGTAATTTTTAATAATCTCTACAAAACAACACTTAATCATCAATAATCATTTTATAACTTTTAATAATCTCAACAAAACAACACTTAATCAGTACTTTACCCTTTCCATTACAAAAATTGTTAGATCCTATGCCCAGTGTGTAGAGGCATATACTTTGATACCATCAATATGAAATCCAAATCCCTTAAAGGAGGATATAAGATTGACCTTGGGAAAGTGATTGGCAACCATTGGAGTCGACTAGAAACTGATTAGACATGCCGATACATGGTGGAATAGAAACCTTTCAGCAACTTCAACTTTACGTGTTCTTTCATCATCAATCCATTCAAGAAAAGGCCAACTTTCAGTTGACAAGAAGATTCAGGTACTTCAGATGTATATGGACCAAGATGAACAAAAAACTCCATAAAAAAGAACATTTATTAACAAGTACAAATTCCAACTTTGCTATTGCATTGACCAAACACCGTGTACAATCATACTTGGCGACTTCTATTATAAAGGTGATTACAGCAAATAACATGGAACTATAACAAGAACTAGGTTATGGTTTATTTAGCATTTTAATGTCGTAGGATTTCCGCAAAGGCAGGCTTTGACATATGTCAAGTTGGCAGCACAAATAGTTTTTATCTTTCTTTTTGGCATTAACTCACTGGATCTAGCTAATTTATTACTAATTTACTGAGTAATTACTTCAGTCAAACGGCTGTTGCCTTTTCGAGTTGTTGGATTCTTCAGTTTTCGCAAACCTTCCACGAATCCTTGGTTGACTGTCAGCAAGAGCCTTCCTGCATGCATACTGGGAAAAAAAAACAGAAAACATACTAGTTTCAGTACAGAAATATGAAAACCATGGAATCTGAACATGTACTCATATTTTTTAACCTTGATTTTCCTTCCAAAGTTCCTCTTGTTCTTCTTATTCCTGTATCTAGAGAGTTTTTCCCTTCGATCTTCGGTAGAACAGCTGCTGAAGATTATTGGTCGCTCAACAGGAGAATGGATGACGCCCACGTTACCATTGTCAAGAGTCTGTCATAAAAACTCAGTATCAATGACCCACCCCATCCTGTGGAAATTACCAGAAACATCTAAAAGTTTCTCAGTTGCTATACGTTATTACAGAGACGATACATGCTCAGTGCTCTACATGGTTTGACAGATCATTCTGGTGGGAACTTTAGGAGTGTAATGACAGAGAAGCTTGTTGGAACAAAAGACAGGTCTTATTTGAATTTTAGATATAGGAAGAATTTAACTGCAAAGCATGAACCTTCGATTCCTGGTGAGATATCTATAACGGATAAACAAAGTTGTGTTCAGTGATGACAAAGGAGAGGTACGGATGGAAAAATAACGCCTCTAGCCAGAAAAGATCCAGGTCGCTAGAGGGAAAGTCTCTTAACATTCTAAAATCTTGCACATCAGCTAAAGAAATCATGTCTAAATCCGGAAGGTATCCACACAAAAGCCAACAGAAAAGCTAACAGGCTAAAGAAAAAGGGTCAAAATCAAAGCAAAATAATAAAGGCTGACCTTTATATCTCCTTCACTAAATGCCCTCCTCATCCCATTTGCAGAACCAAAATCCATTCCAGGTAAATCAAGAAAATTAGGCTTGATTGCAGCCGCTTGCATCCACTCCATCGAGCTTAAACAATCTGAGCTGACACTTTTCTGGAATGGCACATCACAGAGCATTTCATTTTCACGATTTCGGTTTTCATCGGTCTTCAAAACAGGAATCTTTGCATCCAGGAACTCAGACAGTGGTGTTTCTATTTCTTCCCGTGCTATTAGATTTTTCTCGCACTCATAGAGAACTTCTAAAAGCTGCTCGTTTTGAATTGATTCAATATCAGCAGCCTTAAGTCCTTGTGAAGTAATAACATCTTCACCGCACAAGCCTAACGAGATGACTGAAGTCATGGGATCAAGGCCCACAATTGGTTCTTCAATGATTGGCTCAGGAGCTTTGAATAGATCACCTTCTTCTCCCAGGTAATATTCAGATATTGCAGATGTCTGAACCAGGTTGTCCTACATTAGACATGAGTGAATATAAAGAAGCTTTAGAATAAAAAGTTATTCATTTACAAAATAAGATATATTTTTTTCTGAATGAAACAAAGTAGGCAAGTCCAAAAACAATTAATACAGGCAAAAGAACACTCTGCTTTGTGTAATTCAAATTGAGCACGAGATGCATTCTAGTCAGCTATATAAAAGCTTTAGCCTGGCGCCTTCGACAAAACAGTTGAATTCTAACCAAAACCCGGAATAGGGCTGGTTTCATTACATCTTTTCCTTTTCTTTTTCTCGATAAAGAGTATCAAGGATTTTACAGATGAATTGCCCAGTATCAAACATATTAAACCCAAACTAGAAGACTGTTGTTATCATGCTTATTTAAATGAGCTCCACTGCCTCTTCTTCCTTTGCCGTCCACAAAACTGAGATCAGGATTAAACAACCAAATCCAAAAGATTTGATAGTTCAAGGAAAAAACCTAAATTTCGTTTTAGTAATAACTTATTGAAGCTTAAACATATTTGTCCTGTACAACACCGAACTCTGGCCTCATAAACTAAAACTTAAACATTTGATAGAAGATTGCAACTAGAATGATCAAAGCTAAATTTCCGTTGTGGCTTTCTTCGTTCATCATATGCACACGCTAAAGTTCTTAAGAGAAACAGATTACTAATAGCAATCAGCTCTCCCAACCGGAATTTTTGTTTTCCTAAAAGCATCCATGTTCGATAGATTCGTATAAGGTTATGGAGGTATAATCCTCAAAACATAGAGAAAACTTTATAAAACTGTGAATATCGATGAGACACATACATTAATCCAATACTCACCCGAGTCAAGATAGCATAGCATATTAGTAATCGAATTCAAAACCCATCTCAACAAACAACAAAAATTCCGTGTTAGCACTTAAGAAAGTAAGAATATAACATCCATTTAAAGGGTAAATTACATTTCTCTTGCAGTCTACACCAGTGTCAGTTTCACTTTTGAAACCAACTACATAATGCGCCCTTTATACCCAAAAAACTAAAAGAAAAAAAGAAAAGTGACCCTTTCCCCCTTCTAATCTCTCAAGTACAAGGGGAACTGAAAAGTGAAAAATCCAATGTCCAATTCACACCAAAAAGTTGAAGAAAATGGAAGAAAGCTTCAAGAACACGGAAGTGGTGACATGGAAATCATTTTCCAATTATATTCTAACTTTTTTTTGTTTTGTTTTATTTCCTTTTTCCTGATTCATTATGTAAACGCTTTCATTCTTTTTCCCATTTCAGCCTTGTTTGGTAGCCGATAAACCGTTCTTAGAATGACTAATTGAAGGCCCCCATTTCTGGAGAACCCAAAAAACAAAGAACTTGAAGGGTGAAAGTTTCCAAAATACATTTTCCCTAAAAATTAGAAAACTTTAATATGGGCAAATGAAGTTCCCCTTTGAAATCAATCAAAAACTGTAAAACTTGACAGAAACACAAAAATCTCTCCACTTTAACAACGAAACAAAGAATCATCACGGTGCGAAGAACAAAGTGAATACTGAAAGCCTGAAACAAAGGTTCAGTTGCATGTAATCAAAACTAAAACCCACCTCAAAACCATATCTAATCAACCAAATGCCGATCGCCCAAGACAAACCCAAATAAGTGAACATTACCAAAAACAAAATAGAAAGCAACAAATCCGAGACAAAGATTCAGATACTCATTACCATTGAAGCATTGGGTTTCTGGGTTTCGCACAACTCTTCAAAGTGCTGAAAATCTTGAGAAATTTTCTGCATGTAAGGGAAAAATACCCCCGTTCCTGCATACATTTCTAACTCACGAAAACACAAACTTCCTTTGATTCTTGAGAAAAGAAAAGCACAAACTTTGATTTTCCCTAGAAATCAGAGTCCCCATAAGTAGAGCAAAATACTAACTAGACAGAAGCCAAAAATGCTATAATAAGGACAAAGTGTAAGATGACATGATATACAGTGGCCCCTCTCTGTCCCCAATTGTCTCAAGTGGTGTAAATGTTTGGGTCTTATTCGTTTAAATTTTTAGGATCATATTTATGTTCGTTTATTTATTTTTAAGGTATATGTATTCTTTTATTTATTGTTCATAAAGATTTTTGTGTAATGTTTATGAACGTAATTATTTATATGTTCACGAATATGTCTATTTCTATTATGAACTTATTTATTTAGCATTCACGAATATATTTATTTTAATATTTATTTAATGTTTGTTTACCATTCCTTTAAATATTCAACTTTTTGTTTTTATCCTGCTAAAGAAAAATTGATAAAATTATAACATTAGTGTTTAAACTCTTTAAAATTCACAGTTTAAATTTCATTTTTTATTATATATTTAATTTATTCACTATCATCACCAATATTTAAAATATATATAAAAAAAGGAAAACTAGGTAAATGTTTTTGTTCATGAATATAAATAAATGAGTTGAAAAACAAGCTCATAAAATAACTCATTCATGAACATAAACGAATTAAACACACATTTGTTCGTTTATTAAATGAATATAAAAGATTTTGTTCATACTCGTTTATTTAACGAACATAAACGAACGTTATACAAAAAATTTACAAATAATTCATCGAATACTTTGTTCATTTAAACCCCTGCATATCATGCCTCTTTCTTTTATTTGAAATGTTGTATTATATAAATATATTTATGATTATTGTTTTGGGTAAATTACACCGTTCATCATTGTATTATACTTTCTCTCTTATTTTCCTCACCCAACTTTCAATTTTTCTATTTTGCTCACTGAACTTTACATATTGAATCATTTTGTTCATTCTGTTGTTAACTTTTTAACAGCGTTATGACGTGGCACATGAATAAAAAATGGCGCCGTTTTGAAAAACTCAAATATACTCTAAAAACGTCGTTTTGGTGAGTAAAATATGAGAGATAATAAAGTTTAATGACTCATAGTGTACTTTACTCTTTTTCCTTCTCTTCTCCATTTTCCCTCTGTCGACCACTATGTCATTTTCCGATCAATATCGACTACCGTAGATGGTGGTTGTTTGTTTTGTCCCGACTCCTTGAGTTCGAATCTGGCGGTTGTTTCACTAGAAAACGTCTCAAACCCCATTAATTTGGACTAAAACATTCCGGTTTCCTCATTTTTAATCTCAAATTCGTGGACTTCAGAACAACTTCCGACAAAATAAAGGTCAGATTCGAACTCATGAAGTCGAGACGAAGCGACTCATCCCATTTTAAAGACCAAATGACCTCCATCTACGGCGGTCGACACCTTTTATTTTTTTTATTTTTTATTTATTTTATCTTTTTATTATTTTATCAATCGTTATAGAGAAAATGGGGTAATGAATAAAATGATTTAATCGGTAAAGTTTAATGACCATAACTAAAAGTTGAATGAAAAAAATAAGAGATATAATAATACATTGAAGAAAGGTGTAATTTATTTATTTTTTTTAGGGTGGAAGAAGAAGTATTGAAAACAATTTTGTATTATTATAACAGCAATTTGCATAGAATGTGGGCTTGTCAGTGCTCAGCACTCATTCTGACCTTTTTATCTCATGTCAGATGTATAACTTGCTCACACGGGTTCTAGCGCGTGTTCAACATTTCCCATGCATGTGTGAATGGTATTGTCAGCTGCATCAATTTCTTCTTCTGCTGTTGCGGTCCACATTCCAGGTACCGTTCATTTCAAGCAGCGGAGAGTGAACTTTCTTTTATCTTAAAAAACAAAAGCCCAATTGTCATTCTTTATTACTCAATTATTTATATAAATCGATACTTAAAAATATCGGCTTTATATATTAATTATTGGAGTTAACAAGAGTAGACGTTGATTGGATTGAGTTGAATTAAAAATGTTTAAAATATTAAATTATATAATTTTATCTTTTAATTTAATTTTTTTCAAGTGTAGTTATTTGAATTTATTTTAAATTTAATTATAAATATTTATAATATTATAATAGTAACTGATTTTAATTTAAATAGTTTTCTATAATAATATAGAATACATGTATATATTTTATATTTTTTCATATGTTATATAGATACATCATATAGAGTTGTGACACTCAACTCAAACTTAAAAATCAATTCACTAATTATTAAAATTTTTGATTTATTTGAGTACTATTTTATAACTCAACTTGAATTTGGAATTCTCCCCAGTCGAATCGAGTTTATAAAATTATGAGTCGAGTCAAGTTTTCTCAAGTAGAATCAAATAAAAAATAATTTTTCGAATTGAATCAAGTTTTGTTCACCCTTAAATAAGAGTTTATGAATTATAATTAGAATTATTTGAAATATAATTAGATATGTATATTGATATGAATAATTTATGGTGTTTTATAATTATATATAAATACAAAATTTTTAAATCTTGATTTATCTAGTAATATTAATATATATAAATGTTAATAATACGATTGTAAAGTATGTAACATTTTCAGTGACGGTTGATATGTATATAAAGTAAAAAGCATGTTCACATTATCAATTTGATTATATGAATATGATTAACTTATATGTGCGTTTATATATTATATGTATATATTATGTATAATATATATTATATTGAATATATATTTTTTATTTTTTAATAATCTATAATTTTATAGTTTGTAATGTTTTCTAATAGTATTTTTAGTATTTTTAAAACGAATGATAATTTAATGTTCATTGATAATATTTTTTAAAATATTTTTATATTTTAAATTTAAAATAATTTTCTTATTTTTTAAAATAAATAAACCCTCATTTAAAAAAAATTAATTTAATTCTTAAACTCGACTAAAAACATAATTTAATCTCATTGTCATGTCATCATCAGTTATAGATCAACGTGTCAACATTGTGAATCATTGTATTAATATAATAAGTGTCAACTTTTGATTTTGTTGGTTAAAGAGATAATTATTATCTTTTAATTTAAGGGTCACATTAAGTATAAAAAAATAAAAAGTTATAGTAATTTTTTAAATTAAAATCACAGCTATTGTTAACTAATATTTTTTAAAAAATAATAACTTTATAAACATAATATATTAAGTTTAATCTTAAATAATTCTTTTTTATATGAGGTAAATTATTTTCGTTAGATTTAAAACAATATTATATTATATTATATTATATTATATTATATTATATTATATTATATTATATTATATTATATTATATTATATTATATTATATTATATTATATTATATTATATTATATTATATTATATTATATTATATTATCAACAAAATATACTTGTTTTTGACAAAGTCAACTATATATATTATATAATCAACGATGTACTATGATTTATGAAATAATTATATAATCAAACAAAACCCACAACGGTGGATACGTAAATTTATTATTCTTCTTTAAGGTAATTAAATGAATTATTTTTATTTCTAAAGGTTATAGGTTATAGCATCTGCTAACAGGGTGATTGAATATTCATTGTTAAATAATTAAGATTATTTAGAATATATTACTTTGTAATTACTTTAATTTAATAAAAAAATATTAATAAATATATTAAAAATAATAGTATACTATTCTTTTTTTTTACTGCTGATGAACAAGGTTGTTTCTAGAAGGAGATATACACATTTACTAACTTGTTAATAATTTCTGATTCTAATTAAGGGTCTCGGGGTTTTAGGGGGGAAGTGATTGTCATTTTGGGTTCATCCATGGCCAGTACTTTTGCTTTACCATTGAGTTTTTACATTTTGTGTTTCTTTTGAATTGAAATAAACAAAAATATTAGTAGTTTATTTGATTAGACTGGTATTAAAATAATTTAAAACAATGTTATATTGCTAGTTATGGAATTATATTTGTTTATAAAATAAAATGTAATTATTCTAATCTACATAATATTATAATTTAATTATTTATTTTTAAATTGATTTATAAATTGAATAATTCGGATTGTATAGTTTGGTATTTAATTAAGTTTTGCTTCTTTTATTTAACCATAAGAAAGCAAAACTTTAATGCTTTATGATGTTTGTGCATTTGAGATCGTATAATTGTCTTTTCATATTATATTAAAACTTATATAAATAAATATAATACTTACAAAAATTGTTTAAAAATATAAATTTAATATATTAATTATATTAAGGATAAAGTATATAAATAGTCCACCGACTATAGGTTGTTTCTTTGTTGAGTACTTCGGCTACCCATTATAAGTTATTGTTTTGTAGAGTCCCTCAACTATTAAATGTTACAAAATAATCATTAGAATATTCATATGTATGTTCACGTTAAGCTTAGACGATCGTCAATTTTTTAATGGAAAACGAAGAGTTTGAGACATATGAATAGTCAAATGACCTTTTTATAAGTTTTGATAGTTAATGGACTCAATAAAGAAATAACCTATAGTTAAGGGACCATTTTCACCAATTGATGTTTAAATATAAAAAGATAATTCTTTAATGATTTCTTCTTAAAATTTTGATCTAGAGAAAAAAAAGAGTAAAGTACACAAATAGTCCTCTAACTATAGGGTATTGTTTTGTTGAGTACCTCGATTATTAAAAGTTACAAAATAGTCCTCTAACTATAGGACATTGCTTTGTTGAGTCCCTCAACTATAAACAATTACAAATTAGTCAACCGACTATTCAAATGTTTCAGACTTGTCATTTTTCCGTTAAAAATTGATGGTCATCTAAACTGAGTGTTAGTGTGATGACTGAGATATGATAGTCATTTGAGATTCTAAGATTAAGTTTTATCATATCTCATTCAACATGTTAACATCCCGCTCAAATTGTTGTTATTTTTAACAGAAAAAAAACAAGTTTGAAACATATGAATAGTCAGGTGACCATTTTGTAACTTTTAATAGTCGAGGGACCAACAAAACAACGCCTTATAGTTAGGCGACCATTTATGTACCTTACCCTAAAAATTAAATGACCAAAATAAAGATAATACTATACTTTAAAGAACAAACTAGGCCGAGTTGAACATTCAACGAATGGTTCGTGAACCGTTCATCGATAAGTTCTTTTATTTATCAAACAAACGAGCATGAACAAGATTTTATGTTCATTTCATTAAATAAACACACACGAACAAATGGTTCATTCGTCATTTACTCGATCTGGGTCTAATATCATTTCAACTATTTTAAAATATTAATTTATTCAAATCAATTCGATGCAGGTCGAATATAAACAATATATTTTCTAGGTGGGGTAGGTTGAATATAAACAATATATTTTAAAATAGTAATTTATTCGAATCAAGTAATTTTTTTTTGCTTCTATTTTTATTATATTTTAAATAGTCAAAGTAATATATTTATTATATTCGAACACCAAGAAAATAATATATTTCAAAATATATTGTTTGCCCCGACTTGAGTCGTTTTAGTGTTACTTCTATTTTTATTGTTCAAGCATTCATTATATTATAAGATAAATATTAATTAAAGTAAGCATTATACCCAAAATAGTCTTGGGCAAGTGGTTAAGGGGTTATTTATCATCTAAAGGGACAAAGGTTTGATTCCTCACCCCTAATTCAACACAATTTTGTTTCAATTTGCTTTCTTTTTATCAAATGGTGTCACTTAGAGGAAAAAATATTTAAATTAAATTAATAAAAGCTCTCCAATGATATCATGACATGTGTCATCATATAAATGGAGGATTAAATAAATTGAATTAATTTAAAATTATGATTAGTTTGACAGATTGTATAAGTAATAAGGACTAAATGTAAATTATATCAATTTTATTAACTACCATGCTAGCACTTTCGTTAACTGTTAACGACTACTGACTTGATTGAATGCATTTAAATAGTTGGGTGGTCTTATTTATAAGAATTCAAAAAAGGTGGTCGAAATGAAAAAGGGCTATAGTTCGGTGATCTCTGGTATAGTTTACCCTTTCTTTCTTTTTTATTTATATTAACTTTTTTAGAACAATCCACATGGAAAAAAAATATAAAATTTAAAACTTAAAAGTTTATAATGCATAACATAAACATAAAATTTATAAATTCAAAATATATAATTTAAAAATAAAATTTAGAAACATAAAAATAAAATAAAATTCAAAATTTACAACTAAATTTAAAATAATTTAAAATTAAAGTAAATAATTTAAATCCTAAGGTGAAATAATTTAAAAATATATATAGATAGATTTAAAATGTTAGGGTAAAATAATTGTGTCCATTCAAGCCACTTGCCGTTATTATCTAACGGAAATTCTGTCGTTAATATCTAAAGGAAATGCTGGCGTGACAGTTAATAAAATTAGTATAATTCTATTTTTAATCCTCAATACTTATACATTTTATCAATTTGGTCCTAAATAAAATTTAATTCAATAAATTTAATCAACCAATTAGATGGTGACACATCACTATTAGATTAAATTTTTTTATAACTTAATTTTTTAATTTATATATTTATCTTCCAACTAGATAAATATATGAATTGAGCTCATCTTAGCCGTTGATGTAAATAAATCTAGGTCATTGATTTAGAGGGAGCACAATTATAAATAGAGAGTCTCTCATCCTCATTTGTAACAACTTATTCCATTAATTCTCTTGGGAGAGTAATAAAGCTCTGAGGTATTTACTCTATCCCTTGTGTGCTTTGTACCTAAGTCTCTTTGTGTTGTTACTCTCATGGTGGCTAGGAGTAGCCACGCTTGTGGTTGCACTTCCACACCATAGTCTAACCTTGGTGGCTTGGAGTAGCCACGTTGGTGTTAAAGCTTTCACATCCTAGAAGCCTTAAGAACTTGGTTCCGACCTTGGTGAGTTTGCATGCTCACTAGGCTTGAGTAAGGCTTACTTAGTCGCAGAAAATACCCATAAGTGTTAAGAAATGTCTAAGGTCGCACGTCTTGTCATAACTTAACTCTGATATTGCGGCGGTTTGGGCTTGAAGGTTTTAAAGGTGTGATAAGTGGTATCAAAGCGAGTCATTGTGGGGAGACAATGATCATTTCGTACGTGTTTGGTTGAAGTGGTAAACCAGGTAAGTTTGATTTACTTACTATATTGACAATTTATTTTGGTAGTTAAGTTGGCAAGGATTTGCACTTGAGCTAGTTAGGGGTGATTGAGCTAGTTCGTGGAAAAATAGTTTAATATGACAAAGCCAAGAGTTGGAACTTTAAGGAAATCGATAGCTTCGGTAGAGGAAAGGGTTACTAGGTTGGAGGAGTTAGATAGCCAGGCCCAGAAAGAGGTGCATGAGCTACTCGACGAGTTTAGTGGAAAAACTTCCGAGCATGTATTGGATGTGCTTAACATGTTAGAAATCTTAACTTGGTTGGAGAAAATGGTCGATAGACTTGAGAGATATGTGGAGAGAACCAAGGAGACCCAGGGTGTTGTGGAATCCCGCCTTGATAAACTAGAGTCCATGGAGGATAGGTTCAAGGACGAGACACACT